TTATTAATTAAACATCACTGATTTATGTTGAGACATTCAGTGCGATTATTTCATTTCTTTGTTCAAAAAGTTAAAGCACCAATTAAATACATATTTTTATCACACAAAAGGGGCAGAATACTTGACCTTGTATCAATTCATATCCCGATAATTCTTTACAAGGGAATGTTTCTTATTAAAACATAAGCAGCGCCAAGGCGTCGATTGGGGAGGGGGTCAATCCGGTGTTCTCAGGCTATGTACAGCCAAGTATCATGTTTATGTAAAAACCCTACGTTCCCGAATCACAATCAGACAATTAATTAGTATATTTGCTGTGTCTAGCAATTGATCATAGAATTAGATGTTGCGAAAACTATGGGAACTTGTACCTGTCTGTTTATGGATAGGCTGGGAAAGAACAGCAGAGAGAATGGTACATTCGATTGAATATGCTTGTTTTGCCCAATTGTGTATTAAAATGCCCCTCATTTATCATATGTATGGTCACAAGTTAAGTCGGCGATAATTTGTATTGACTTAACTTGAAACAAATTACTCCGAAATCCAAATACTCATCGAAAAGTAAGGTTATCTTTATATTAAGCTAATACAAAATAAATATATAAATAGGCCTGATGTATCAGTGTTTTCAAAGTTTATTGCACGTTTTATCCTTGAAACGCCTTTCTTTTTCTTATCATGATATGTATTTCCTTCACTTAGGATCAATGCTTTATTAACATTGCCTGTAACTGATTTATATTTTCAAAAGGCGGCATGAAATTGCCAACATGTTTAAATAAGTCAATGTGTCAGCGTACATACAAAATAGTCTGTTTAATATTTGCTACATGTACTTGTTCCAAACAGTCTGCGAAAGAATGATTAAAAAATATATCAATTAAAAGTATCAGAGAAAAAACTTGCAATCGTTTAAAATACGGCATGTATTGCTATTGGTAATTAGGTTAGTTGTTTACACATAATTATGTTGTTCAGTGTGCCAAGAGCGTGTCAAGAGATTCCATTAATTGTTACAGGGCGTGCAAAGACTTTTTGATATGGTCTTTACCCGGCGTGTAAAGACCAGTTTCTAGACGTGTCAAGAGTTGGAATCCCATATTTCATGCAGTGGATATTGGTTCTCGATTGGAGGGGGAAGGGGGATGTTAGACATTGTTTCTTTTCACGTTAGCTCATGGTTTTGGGATATATAGGGTCTACTTTTCTTATGACATATTTACACTTACAGTTTGCTTTTCTTGTTGGGTTTCTGTAAAAGTTTTAGTCACCCTTCCCTTTAGCTTTTGCGCTCATATATTTAGTAACTTTGTCTTTCCAAGTTTCCCACACGTTATTGATTCCTTGAAATTTTGATATATCCCAGTCAGAAAACTGGTCGGAGAGGCTTTTTGGAAAGAGCTCCAATCAGTATCATCAGTTATATCCCATTTTGTAAAAGTAGCATGATTGACATCACGTTTTACGGTTTTATATTGATAGCGGCTTATAATGGACGCCAATGTGAATCCAAACGCTTATATCTTTGGAACTAGGTAAAAGAAAAAATTGAACCCTTCCTATTTTGATGATAATCATGTTATTGTAATATCCTAGGAATATGGGCTTTGTTACTCTAGAACTGTTCTGCAGGGGGACTTTTGAAGATTGATAAATTAAATGTGCAATGTAAATGTGCAAAGTTTTCGAGGTTTTTTGCTATCATCAACTTGGGCCACTTTTCAACACCACTTCGTAAGATATAAAAAACATATATGTATTAAATATACTTATGTCAAAAAATGGTGCCGTATATATAGCAAGTGCAGTTCAAGGATTTTATTGTCAAAAATAGTGCACCCCATTTTATGCCTCGATTAATAACTCAAACGTATTCACATTGTTTAAGGATTTAAGCCCCAGACTCAATGCATTGTTTGCTGAATCATACCATGAGGGTGTTGTTTCCAAATCTTTGCATGACCGTGCAAAAATTAGGAAACAACGCATGAGTGTCATGAAGCAGCTACAATGCATTGAGTATTGGGCTTAACTTATTTTCACACATTGCAAAATATTTTCTACAAAATCAAAGGAACAAAATCACTAAAATAACACATTTTCAATGACGTTTTTTGCAAAGGTCAAGTTGGCAAGCCATCAAATCCAAGACATATCCATATATCCCAAAATCATGATCTAACAATGTATTATGTCCCCTCTCCTATCTTTCTAGAACAAATATCACAATTCAAGACCAGAACACAACGGGGCATTTCAATTATTATACTGTAGTAAAAAAAGTGTTGAATTTTCAGCCAATACTCATAACATGAAAGATAGTTGTAGATACAAGTACTCATATAAGAGCTTTCAGTCTCAAATGATGTGGGAAAATTAAAATCTAAAAAGATATTTAAGATGATATTTTTACTGCCACTTTAAAATAAACTGTATATGAGCAATTGATCTCAAGGAAGCAGATCAATATTTTATTGATTGATATGCATTTTTGACTTGTTAACTACTTCATGTATTTTTTAATGTTGCCCCTTGTTCTTTCTCATTGTGATGTAAATTAAAAATCTCAATATTTTTTTCTGATATAGTTTTGTAGACAATTGATCTCAATGAAGTATAAAGAAGATCACCTTCAATATTATTTTGCATTTTTGACTAGTTATATTTTATGTGTTTTCGAATGTTGCCCATTATGCTTTGTCACTATTATGTAAGATAATATCAAGAGGATCGATGAAAAAGTCTTGAATGACTGTAAATAATGATTATTTTGATAATAAATAGAAACAGTGAGAATAATGATGTGAAAGGAGTGATTTTCCTTCAAAAGGTCATTTTATACAAGTTAATAGAAAGACCTCTATTTTGTAATATAAAGGTCAGAATGACCTAATCTTGGGATCTGGTTATCAAACAAAGTCCCTTCTTTGATATCCTGTACGATTTCTTCTAAATATCTTGGGGGCTATTATAGGGTCTTAAAGACACTCGTTCTTTATTATTATATCTGTCAATTAGCGTCCATGATATAAATGACGTCATTTTCGTTATAAAACGGGTTTTAAAAAGCTTGCAAAAAACAAGTTAAATTGTCAATTTTATTCATATAAACAGACATTCAATATGTCCACCATTTTATCAATTGTAGCCCTCAATTTTAGCCTGAACTGGTCAATAGCATCATTGATATGCTGTTGAGATAATGAATTTCACTTCTCAATAATTCTGTCCTTTAAGAGACTGAAGATGATGTAAAGGATTTATGGTACACCAATTCTGTTTGTTCTCCCCATAAGTGGTAGTCGCAGACGTTGGGTGATCGGGTGATCTTGGGAGGCAGTGATTAAGCGGGGATGAATCTAGGCACATTTTCTTTTAAATATTTGACACTCTTGGAGGATCTATTGCATAGAGCCCCATCTTGTTGGAAAATGTAATGATTCGAAAATGAGCTCAAATCAGGATGGTCCCAAAACAACATAATTGGATCATCCGATATCAACGTCTGCGATGACCACATATTAGGAAAACTAACAAAATTGGTTCATCATGAACCCCCTACTCAGTCCCTTATTAAGGATAGAATTGTTGAGAAGTGAAATCCATTGTCTCAACAGCATATCAATGATACTATTGACCAGTTTAGGCCAAAATTGAGGACTATAATTGATCAAAACGACGGACATATTGAATATCGGTTTATGTAAATAAAGTAGACAAAAAACTTGTTTTTTGCAAGTTTTGGAAAACCCGTTTTGAAATGAAAATGACATCATTTACATTATGGAGGCTGGTTGACAGACATTATAATTAATTTGAACTTAGTAGCCGAGACAACACAAGTCCCAAGTCTGTAAATTTACTCTCATTTCTTCACCTTTAAGATTTAAGTCACCAAATCTTGCATTACATATTCCCAGGAGATATCCTAACATAGAATTTTATCGGTTTCGATTATAGTTTATGAGTCAAAAATAGGGAAACATTTTATTTTGATTGGTCTATAACCAAAATTTGCCATTTTGTGCAACATATGCAACATTTTGATGTAATTGATAAAAGTCTCTACTTTTGATGTAATCCAAAACTCCAAAATGATCAAATGTTTTCTTATTCAGCACAAGTGTAACTGTTTGGGAGTATTGGGACATTTTCTAGAAAAAAGATATGCAGAAACATGATATTTCAAATAAAACGGGGTCAAAAACGACCCCTGAAAATGCCTGCATCATATGCGATTTTAGCGTGTTTCAATGGCCTGAAAAATGGATGGGGTAGGGGAGTGGCATATCCTTTTAGCCTATTCCAGTTACTATTTTAATCAAATGAATGGTGACATATTTGGTATCATATTAAAGCGTGTAACGTGTGCTTCAATTTGGTACCCATATTATGATGTCAGATGATATATTATGACATCACAGTGGTACCAAACGACCTTCAATGGAAAAAGAAGCACCAAAATGCTGAAAAATAATGGTGCGACTCCCAGCATTCTTTTGCAAATTCAATACTTCCGACAATCAATGAATGCAAATCTCGTTGCAGTACACTTTTAATGCATGATCTGATGACTGGCAAAAATAACTAGGACGATAGTTATTGTCAAAACGATTAGAGACCCCATAATGTTTATGTCATTTATAACTTGGATTTTTATTGATTACGTCAAAATGTTGCATTTGTAGCAAAAAAATGGCAAAATGTGATTATAGACCAATCAAAATAAAATGTTTTCATACATTTAACAAATAAATAATAATCAAAACCGAATAAATTCTATAATAAAAAAAACTCTGAAACAGACTTGTGTTGTCCTATGATATACCAAATTAAGGATAAGTGAATTTCCTATCCAATGGTATATAATATGACATGTTTTCATCACGAAAATCAATATTTATTTTTGAAATACAAGTGACCCATTTTTTAGACCACCCTGCTCAGTATATATACACTTATTTATGCGTTGTAATTATGTTATAATTATCTTTCAGATCAATTAACTCTATTTAAATTCGTGGACAGTGATGACCTCTACATTCGAGCTAAGGTTCAATCGTGCTATAGCAAAACTAGTGCCGGCAACGATATTGTGGAGTATCACGTCTGTGCACAGGTATGTACATTCAAGCTAAGGTACAAACGTGTAATAGCAAAACTAGTGCCAGCAACGATATTGTGTTCTATGACATATGTGTACGGGTATGTACATTCGAGCTAAGGTACAATCGTGTTATAGCAAAACTAGTGCCAGCAACGATATTGTGTTGAATGACATCTGTGTACGGGTATGTACATTCGAGCTAAGGTACAATCGTGTTATAGCAAAACTAGTGCCGGCAACGATATTGTGGAGTATCACACCTGTGCACAGGTATGTACATTCAAGCTAAGGTACAAACGTGTAATAGCAAAACTAGTGCCAGCAACGATATTGTGTTCTATGACATATGTGTACGGGTATGTACATTCGAGCTAAGGTACAATCGTGTTATAGCAAAACTAGTGCCAGCAACGATATTGTGCTGAATGACATCTGTGTACGGGTATGTACATTCGAGCTAAGGTACAATCGTGTTATAGCAAAACTAGTGCCGGCAACGATATTGTGGAGTATCACACCTGTGCACAGGTATGTACATTCAAGCTAAGGTACAAACGTGTAATAGCAAAACTAGTGCCAGCAACGATATTGTGTTCTATGACATCTGTGTACGGGTATGTACATTCGAGCTAAGGTACAATCGTGTTATAGCAAAACTAGTGCCAGCAACGATATTGTGTTGAATGACATCTGTGTACGGGTATGTACATTCGAGCTAAGGTACAATCGTGTTATAGCAAAACTAGTGCCGGCAACGATATTGTGGAGTATCACACCTGTGCACAGGTATGTACATTCAAGCTAAGGTACAAACGTGTAATAGCAAAACTAGTGCCAGCAACGATATTGTGTTCTATGACATCTGTGTACGGGTATGTACATTCGAGCTAAGGTACAATCGTGTTATAGCAAAACTAGTGCCAGCAACGATATTGTGTTGAATGACATCTGTGTACGGGTATGTACATTCGAGCTAAGGTACAATCGTGTTATAGCAAAACTAGTGCCGGAAACGATATTGTGTTGTATGACATCTGTGTACGGGTATGTACATTCGAGCTAAGGTACAAACGTGTAATAGCAAAACTAGTGCACCGGCAACAATATTGTGTTGTATGACATCTGTGCACGGGTATGTACATTGCTAGGGTACAATCGTGTTATAGCAAAACTAGTGCCGGCAACGATATTGTGTTTTATGACATCTGTGCACGGGTATGTACATTAAAACTAAGGTACAAACGATATTGTGTTGTATGACATCTGTGCACAGATAAACATTCGAGCTAAGGTACAAACGTGTTATAGCAAAATTAGGCCAGCAACGATATTGTGTTGTATGACATCTGTGTACGGGTATGTACATTTGAGCTAAGGTACAAACGATATTGTGTTGTATGACATCTGTGCACAGGTATGTATATTCGAGCTAAAGTACAAACGTGTTATAGCAAAGCTAGTGCCAGGAACGATATTGTGTTGTATGACATCTGTGTACGGGTATGTACATTCGAGCTAAAGTACAAACGTGTTATAGCAAAGCTAGTGCCAGGAACGATATTGTGTTGTATGACATCTGTGCACGGGTATGTACATTCGAGCTGAGGTACAAACGATATTGTGTTCTATGACATCTGTGCACAGGTATGTACATTCGAGCTAAGGTACAATCGTGTTATAGCAAAATTAGGCCAGCAACGATATTGTGTTGTATGACATCTGTGTACGGGTATGTACATTCGAGCTAATGTACAAACGTGTAATAGCAAAACTGGTGCCGGCAACGATATCGTGTTGTATGACATCTGTGCACGGGTATGTACATTCGAGCTAAGGTACAAACGATATTGTGTTGTATGACATCTGTGCACAGGTATGTACATTCGAGCTAAGGTACAAACGTGTTATAACAAAGCTAGTGCCAGCAACGATATTGTGTTGTATGACATCTGTGCACAGGTATGTACATTCGAGCTAAGGTACAAACGTGTTATGGCAAAACTAGTACCAGCAACGATATTGTGTTGTGGTAAGCATATTCGTTAAGAATACAATCGTACTATAGTGAAAGTAGTACCAGTGACAATATTGTGTTGCATGAAACATGTGTAAATGTAAGTACATTCAGGGTTGGCCAAATAAAAATGGAACATTTTCCTATTTATTCAATTGTCTCTATTTAGCTTTAAAATGTTAACGGTAAATATATGTATGTTTGATTATTTTTTGCTTGTCATGGCCATGATTTGTATTCTGGGTGTGTCATGAACAATTTCTAAATGTCCCCTGCTTGAGAGGGTCACTGCTGAAAATACAGTAAATACAGTATCTTTCATACCATATATACAATATAGACCCTTCAAATGGGCTCAACACAATTTCCATCAACTAAAACATATGAAGTTATATCTTGGAATAGCAAGACGTGCCTCTCTTGAATAATATAGCTTAATTGACCTCAGCTTCTTTCAAAACTGTCACAATATGTCTCAAAACCTGTCATTTAAGCCGCGAATGACTGTCGAATACAGCTCAGACTGATTGTTCAGGTGGGTGGAGGACAAGTTCAGGAATCCCTTTCGTTTAGTAAAAAATTGGAACATTTTTCCATCGATTGTGACTTTTTTGTTAGTCATGTATAACTTTTATACTTTAGAAAATTGAAAAAAAATTATTTGTCAAAAGCTTCTGTAAATATAGAGATTATCCTATATGAGGTTCAGGATATTGGGATTATCCCGAGGCAAATATAATATTTCTGCCCGAGGGCGGCAGGTCCCGAGGGAAAATATATATTATATTGGCCAAGGGATAATCCCAATATCCTGAACCGACTATAGGATAATATGTTTATCCCATACCAATCTTGGTCATCTGGTTCACATTGTTCAATCGTGGAAATATTCACACTCACTCTCTTATAAGTCAATGTCCTACACGTGACTAAAAAATAACAAGCAATATTCAACGGAAGTCACGTGACTTCCGGTGAATATCAAATGATATTCAACGGTCATGACTTATACATCCCTAGGGTTGACTTAGTCCAGTGTAGGTTTCATTTTATATATCCCATAATAACCAAAATGGCTGACGGTAAACAAAGGTTTCCAAATATTTCTGCAGCAGAAATTGATAGAATCCACGGGAATATTCATTCAGATAACACAATGATATAATATTAACATGAAACCTTAAATTAAAATACTACAATTTGGGAGTTGATATTTATTGACAATACAATTTGGTAGTTGATATTTATTGTATTTTTTGTTATATTGTTAGAAGAAATGTAAATGTATTTCAATGTTAACATATGACTTATTTATTTTAGCAGATGTAACGACAGTGATATAATAAAACAAATATTTCATTTTTTCGGTGAATACCTGTGACACTTTCAAAAGATGATATTCCACTAGCCCTTCGGGCTTCGTTAGAGTTAAGAGGTAACTCTTATGGGCACTTTCTGGCGAAATCTTAATCACATGATGCACCATCAATGTTAATTAAACCAATATGTTGGAGGATACAAAATATTAGACAAATGGTAAATGCATAAAAAGTATTTCATCACATGGGTAACATACATCTAACATCACCCTTTTAAGAGCTGATGCCAAACATATTTTTAAGAGTACTTTGAAAAATATTTACGCAATTGATGCTCTGTATGTGCTTTAATCCGGGTTTGTATCACCAAAAACAAAACAAAATTTTGTTTTTTTGACAAAAAAATCATCATTTAAGCTGTTTTTGAGAAATAATTGGCAATGTTTTCAGTATACTTCGTATGCTTATGATAATCAGTTTTGATGACTTTAAAATAACACGCATCAAATGGAACTGGTATCAACACACACGACGCCTGCTTTAGTAGAACAACTGATTTTGAAAATATCAATTATCGTAAAACTTGAAATTGATGAAATCTAAAACTGAGTTAATTAGACAAGTAGAGTGCAATGCATATAAATTATCTTTAGGGAGAAGTGTCTCAAATACGTTTTTTCACGTGTTGCGACTATAGAATCGCCAACTCAACCCTTTGTTTTTGCGAATAAAGTCAACACTTTTAAGCTCTAATATAAGATGTGTGGAAAGAAAGCGGTACACTCCCCACAATAAGTTTGGCAACTTTTTCCCAGGAGGCTTGTGTTAAAGTCTCTTTATTTTTGAATGTTTATTTCCAAAATTTGCAAAGAAAAAAATAATGATGTAAAATGATATGTAACTTAATTTCTTTCGTACAACACCAAATTTTCTGAAAAAATCTTCAATTACAATAGGTCGAAATATAAGGAAAAATGTGATTATTTTTTTAATTGACATTTCCATTTGTCCACGGTAATGGTAGGTTTGCCGCAAAACTAAAATAAACATCTATCCAAGTTTCTCTTAAAAGTACAAGCTAGTAGACAATTGGTTTTGTTCACTTAATCTATCACAACTATCTATGTATTTCTTCAGGTTTAAAATAATTATAAGTCTCAAAAGTCAAAATGATATTTCAAGAAACCTCTCGTATTGGCCTAGAAATATAAATTCATGAGGTATGCTTAAGTTGAAAAGAGAAAAAATAAATAAGTAAAATCCTTTTATCTCTCTTTAATCCGAAAATGTAGAAATAGATCTATATCTACGGATCCTTCCGTTCTAGAGCGAAATCCTCAATGTTATAAAATAATGATAAACCACGTATAATGATTCATATCTAATATGTTTTCATGTGATCCCAATATTATATAGCAATATAAATCATTGTATTATTTTATAGACCAGAAACTTAAGCTAAATCAATTTAAATATCAAGAGTTCAATTTTTCGCTATATATTTAATTCAAAATTTATTCGACCTAACACAAAAAATAGTTCTAAAATACTTTTTTACATTTATTTTACATTCAGGCATTTATGGCATGTGGGGATATAGTTAGGAAGAAAAGGGACATCACAACTGGAATTGTGAAACGCAACATTACAACAACTCCGACTATAAGGATTGACTTGGCAAACGGAAATGTGATCCGAATTGGTGAGCATTCTATGTTCTTTATGGAATTACTTTACCAGTTCCCTTTTAGTCATAAGAGCATAAAATCAAGAACCCTTTTTGCATGTTGAGTCCTATCACAAAGCCTATTCAACTATCTTCTCACTAAAAATAAAGTCCATACATCGTTTTCAGTGCTCATTGTACGAATCTAATGACCGATCGAATCACTTTCACCAAAACTAAAATAAATTTGAAAGGAGTGGTATCGATATAGAGAACTGATTTCAACAATGTTTTTCTCTTAACCAATCATTGAAAACATTCTGTAAAAATCACGGTATTGTATGTAATGTTGACTAATTGACAACAATTTAATGCTACAATTATTTAGAAATATTTTATATAACTGTTTTTGTTATCATTTTTTGTTCTTTAAGTGCAATTGTTTTTGCACATTTCTAACAATTCTTGAGAATGAAATATCTTTCCGAACCTTGTTGGAACAAAATAACATATACAACATGTTTTAGACCTCTCAAAAACTTTCCTTTGTACAATTACAATATTAAGAGACCTAAACATGTTTTGTTTATGTCGTTTTGTTCCAATGAAGTTCGGAAAGATGTTTCATTTCACTCTGAAAACATGATACCAAGAACAAAACAAGTGTTTGGTGTGTTTTCTAAAACAATATAGATGAAAGTATATATAGAAACCCGGACAGAATTGTTCAATGGTCACTTTTTCTATAATAACTTTTTTAATTTCCAGTGTTATCATAGTCTAATCACATATTTGAAAACTAAAGTTAAATTCTGACATACAAAAAAAATATTTAATGAACATCTCTTATTTTATTGATATTATAGGCGTTCGTAGTATGACTGACGCAAATACATAATTCATCATTTTGCCTCATATTTGTTCAAAATGGCAGCATATGTTGTGAATTTGAATGTTCAGTTGAAAGTTAATATTTAAAGATTGTCATAGGACTATAGGGCCATGCTGCCACCGTTACAATCCTGATGTAATGCAGCAACTGACCAGTCACCAAATACAAGAAGTCAAATCCCTCCAAGGGTATATGAAATCAACTCTATTGAAATGTTTGGGGTTGTGTTCAAGAGGATGTGAAAAAGTGGCGCCCCAATGTACGGGGTGTGATGAGAGTAGGTCCTCAGTCTTTTCAAGAGCTCCAAACAGCCATCTCAGAGGCCATTGAAAAGCTGAAGAACAATTCATATGCATGCCAAGGATGGGTTAAGAGGCGTATGACTGGGAAAGATATTACAAACTGTGGCAGTATGACCCTATAGTTACACAGGTTCAACGAACTAGGGTTGCTAATCCACTACGAGTAACAATGGAATGGCCAAAAAACTTTAAGTGCTGCGACCTTACCAATATACTTACTGTACATACAATATACAAACCTTTTTAGTCAATTTAAAACAAAAGGTTATAAATGCAGTCATAACCTCATACAAAGGCAGCAATCTACATAATTTCGTAGGCCTATGACATTTCTTAATATTAACTTTAATTTCAACTGAACATTCGAACCACAAAACATGCCGCCGTTTTTGATCAAATATGAGACAAAATGTTGAATTATGTATTTGCGTCACTCATACTATGAACGCTTATAATATTAATAAATTAAGAGATGTTCCTTAAATATTTTTTTTGTATGTCAGATTTTTACTCTAGTTTTCAAATAAGTAATCAGATTTTGATAATACTGAAAATTAAAAAAGTTATTAAAGAAAAAGTGACAATTGAACAATTCTGTCCAGGCTACTATATATTTTTCAAATTATATTGTTAACATTCAAAAGATGACCATTAAATTGACGATGTGTTAAATTTTTAGATTTTTTATGACTGGTTTAAGAGAAACGTGTTTTCAAAACGTTCTCCATATCGATACCACTCCTTTGAATATCTCGGGGGAATCCCTCTGTTATTTACTACTTGGTTGTTAAACTTGATTGGCTGCCTAGGTTCAGGTCACGTGACGGCACTCATGTCGCTCGATGGCGGAAAGCTCAAATTGCATTGAATTTGACAATTAGTTGGTTATTCAATATATCAATTATGTGCCAATAAGTTGGTCTCAAGATATATCTATGTAAAATATAATATGAGCAATTATAATGCGACATCACTGATTGTAGAAACCCAATGCATTTTTAATATAGACTCAAACTTATTCTTTAAGAGGAAGATATTTTGTTTATCATCCCAATTGACCTTTTGCAATCAGAATTCAGGAATTTTGTTTATGGATACTGTTGTCACGTATTTCGTCTTATTGGTATGACGTCATATAGAAATGATATTAGACTGCTGGGTGACCTAATTGTGACGTCACTAAAAGACAGAATCCATTCGGTGATCGCAAATCATCAATTGCAGGAATAGATTGTGCAGCAAGAGATATTTATCTTTTTCAAAGCTACAATGGGGTCGGACTTCAATTTGAAAACTACCAATTTTTGGCTGAAACAAGTAGCTTGTGTTGTCTCTATGGGAAAATAACACTGATTTTGTTAATGAACTCAAGTTTATTTACTTCAGAAACAAAGACTATTTATTTTCGACGCTTTGCCGGTTAACTGTTATCTTACCAGTTTATCAATAATTCTAATATGATACGTGACGTCACTATAGCTAGAACCATGACTGCTAAAATTCATAAATGCAAACAGTTGTGATTTATGTCTGTTTATCATATTATAATCATGACAAAGACCTTTTTGTCAACTGATTTTTGTCAAATATATTACCTCAAATTTTTTCTGGCCATTGCCAAAGATCTCAATCGAAAACCCGATTTCGGTCTTTGAACACAAAATCTCGGTCTTTACCTTAAATCAACGCACCACTACCCGGATTCAAATGTATTTAGCCCTTTAGTCGTTATGGTACGGAAGGAACCTTCATATGGTAAAAAATAGGAAAATGAATCCTCTCTGTAGTTCAAAAATCTTTCAAATTTCGAAAGGTGCTTAGAAAAGGTCCTGAACAACGGTTATCAATGATTATATCCTGAAAGCATACAGGAAAACACAATATTTAATAAAAAAAAGAACATCCTATTTATGGTTAGAATATACTCATGGTCAAACATTTGTCTTAAGGTATTCCCCACACTTCACCCGGTCATTTATGTATTCGTTTCTTTTAGGGAATGATAGAGTTACAGAAAAAACGGAATCCCAGGGAATTTGGACAGAACAAATGGAATTTTTGATCATGCTTGTTGGCATTATCGCCCTCGTCCTGCTTTGTCTTGGATTGATGGTATTCATTTGTTGTCGACGGAGAAAGCAACAAAAACAAGATACAAAGGAAGATGAAGTCAAAACAGTTTACGTGTCCTAAGTGAATGAAAATAACGTCGGACATTCCAACATATACAGGGTGGGCCGAAAACGCCACGTTTTTCAAAACACTATTACTTTTTATTTTCAAACCTGCATACACCAACCTTTGCAGTTATATAGTGTTAAGGGATCTCAGTAAAGATATTTTGTAACAAGTCAGTCAACTTGGATTATGTTTTATCTAAAAGAGGAGTTCAATTGGTGTGCAATCCTCTTTGATGATAACTTTTAGTCTAAGTTGCCTTGCTGATATAGCAGTATCAGTAAAATGATGGCCAAGTTTCTTTCAACCTGTCCTGATTGCCAGCTTTAGTTGGGCAATTTTGTTTTAGATTGGATGCCTTCATACCATCTCCTGGAGACCTTCAAACATCCTATACTCACTGGGGTCTGCATCAGGGCTATAAGCTTGGTGGTCATCAGGCCGTATCGGTTCGGGAACATTTTGCAAATTATGTTTATTTCTTATGGCACACCGCATGTTTAAGTGAGACGCTGGTGACATATCTTATTCAAGTAAAAGTGGACAATTCATAATCCATGGCTAGATAACAACATCAAGTTTCATTTGGTATGCAAATTATGATAAGCATTTTTAAAAGAAAGGTGGCGTTTTGGCCCATCCTGTATATTGAACCCTATATTAGATGTGTAGTGTACTCTCTTTAAGACTACGCTAGGGTAGAAAATTATTGGGGGGACCAAGGAAAATTTGCTATTAACAGATCAATATTAGAATATATCATTCACATGATATCTGGACCTGTGTGCATGTGAAACAAAATCTTGATATTACATAATCAACCAAATTGGTACTTATGACATAATCGACCAAATGGTACTTATGACATAATCAACCAAATTGGTACTTATGACATAATCATCAAATTGGTACTAATGACATAATCAACAAAATTGGTACTTATGACATAATCTATCAAATTGATACTTATGAAATAATAAACCAAATTGGTACTTATGACATAATCAACCAAATTGGTACGTATGACATAATCGACCAAATTGGTACTTATGGCATAATCAACCAAATTGGTACTTATGACATAATCAACAAAATTGGTACTTTTGACATCATGATTATGAGTCACAACCATCTAAAATGACTGAATTTTCACCTTGCTTTTGATTTACGTACACCAGAAATATAATGTTTCTTGAATATTATATTTGCACATGTTGGCTTACACGTTTCACGCTGCAATAATAGACTAGATGCAAGTATAAATAATCTTGATTTACGTTATTAAAAATTCGAAATTCAGCCAAGCTGATGTCATATTTGAAATATACATGTAAAAGCTATAGAAATGTGGTTATCAACTTTGAAAATTTAATTTTCTTCGAAAATGTGACTTGTAGGTCGGGGAGATTCCTATAGACCGTATGTTGTAAAATCACAAAAAGTGAAATATCTTTTGATATTTCCTTTCACTGGACACATTTTAATTTGTATAACTATCAAATACATAAGGGAAATATGAAATGTGAACCACTAAAAATGATACAAGTTTAAGGGAACTTTGTAATACCCTGCCATCTCATTCCCCCATATCAGCCACCTGGTGGTGAAACTGGTAACTACCTACTTGCATCTGTATGTATGTATGTATGTATGTATCGTCAACAACCACTTAATAATCTTTACTTAAAAAATAGGCCATTTTTAAGAGACACTACCTTTTAAGGATAATTTCATGGTACCATTGACTGACGGACAAACTTGTATGGTAAGAATGTTAAAAAGGGACGAGGCAAGCGCCCCGTCTCCCTCATTCTGGCTACGCTAAAGGTTGTTCTTTAGTGTCCGATAAAGAATAAAATGGGCATGCGTCATGGCGCTGTAAATGGATAATTCCCTGGGTTCACTTCAGAGGTTAGCCAGCTTCACTGGTGATCCACTCGATTACGCTGGTTACTGAAACGGTTTAACAAAATGTCGGAACGTCGAAGGTACGACTTTTTTTCACTATTTCACGCGTTGTAGGCAGAATCCCCACGACGTTTTTTCACACAAAAAAAAAATGTACATGTTTGCCAGAAAATAGCTCAGAAGACAACAGAATCGTCGATTTAATTCCTCACTTAAATTACAGAAAAATCGTAGCTTCGATGTTCAGACATTTTGTTACCGAAACGAATCGTTTCGGCAACCAGCGTAATCGAGTGGATCACAATTCATGTTGTTGCCGAAACAACGTCGTGTGTTGCTACATTTGCTCCGATCCATCGGCCGGCGCCCGCCCGATTGAGTGTTTTGTTCAATATTGTATTAAATTTTGAACAAAATACTCAATCGGCCGGGCGCCGTTAAGAACATTGGACCAAATGTTACCAAGGCATAACTAGAAAAAGTACAATGATCACTCTGATTGCCGTGGTCACATATGCAATGATTTTCAGTACCGGTGCACGGTCGATGAATACAATTGAATACAATTTTGAATAAAATACTCAATCGGCCGGGCGCCGTCGTAAAAATCGGAGCAAATGTGACCACAGCATAAGAAAGTCGAAGTTGTATCACATTCGAATTTTACATCGATAGCCTTCATTAAAATAAAATTGAGAAATCAAGAACTGATTTGACATTTTACATACTCTATCTTAGTTTTTAGTCTAATAAAAATGTTCTATTATCTATCTGTAATCTAAGAATAAATCACCATTTAAACCACTGTAGAACAGAAATAAAATTTTACACAAGATTATTAAATGTGTATGTTTTTATTCTTAACCGACTTACAAATTATTTTTGAAATTAAAGATGAACGATTTTTGAGATTTTTATTTTCGAATGTTGACGGAGTTTCTATTAGCCTTACTGAATTATACGTTGCTCCAAACGCAACTTGGCAAAAACATATCAATACTAATTACTCACGTTCCTTTACTTTAGAGAATAATGATTTAGTTTCGACGTTTCGCCGCTTATCCTACCAGTTTGATCAAAATTACATTTAAAATAGATCGGAAGCATACAGTTATATAATAGTTTTGATAAATTAACTCTTTTTGTTAACTTGACAAAGCTGGTAGGATAACGGCGCTACCGGTGTAAAAGGGTAGGTGGTCCTATCAAATTTTGTTCCTACTCTCTATTGATTTATATTTTGACCTAATAGGATAGTTTCTGAATAGCAGAAAAATCAATGAAATTTAGTGCTGCCACCTTTTATTCAGCTTTTAATTTGGGCTACTGTTCCATTCACTTACATGCTAAAATCTTGGAAAAGTGGCTTAATTTCATGATTTATCAAGGTGTGTTAGTTGAATCTGTATAAAACTTGAATGAAGTACCACATGATGACCCTGTTTATGTACATGTTGTGATTAAGCATGCAAATGTTGATTGACACACAAATAATCCAAGGTTTTAAAGAATTTTAGCATTGCATCTATGGATATTTGGCCCAAGTTTTTTTAAATTGTCATAGAAAATTATTCAAATTACATAACTGTGTAAATCAAAGCTATTATAGGAGAAAACATTTCACTGAATTCAAATATTCCATTTAAAAGAAGGTAGTGTAAGTCATTAGAGGTCCAATATGCAAGTCTCTTAAAATCTCACGAAAAACGAGATTTAGCGAGATTTCAAAAGCTATATATGGAAGCTATACTATTACAATTATTTTCCTTATTATTTATACACAGTCAGTGGGCCAACATTTAAAAGTTGTGTACGATAAGTAACTAATATAATGGAAATCCGCTAACGAACAGACTGACGGGTTGACGGATGAATGGACGAAGGGCTTCACTATATTCACACCCCATTCTAAACACGTCTTACAACGTAACTGGACGACGTGTTTTTGGCTCCAACTTTGCCAGTCTACTATACCTTGCATTTGGTGTTAATGAGCAACCCATTTGGCTTATTAGTAATGATTATGTATTTGTTTTTATTTGTCTGTTCCTTATTAATGGTTTATCGGTTGAATATTAGATGTTACTAAGCCACTTTCAAAAATATACTAAACAATACAATTAAACAAACAAAGTATCTTATGCATTTCTAGGTGTTAGGTCTAGAAGAGTGTTTGTAACACCCCAGTCACATTTCCTGCGGCCGCCGTGCGGTCTATTATTTCTGCGGCCAGTTGCTTTTCTACGCTCGCCGCAGAATTTCTGCGCTCTCATACTTTTGCAGTCACATTTCCCACGGCAGCCGCACGATGAATTTTAAATTTCTGTTGATAAATAATACTTTTTTTCATTTTATTTACATCAGGACAACTTATAAATGTTATTCATAGTGCTAGGATGTAATATCAAATGAAAAGTGAACGTAAAACATTGACAAATAATGATAAATAACTCACTTATTTCAAGGATTTGACAGAATATGAGCTTCTCTTTCTCATAGAAACATAGCACATGCTGCGCAAAGATGTCTCTAGTCTCAACATTTTTTCTGAACACGATCTCGAACTTCTCAAATCTTCTAGAAAGCACGACAAATTCGTGAAAAAATATCATTTTTCACAAAATCCATCATATTTCCGCCATCTTGATCTATATCATCATAAGATAGTGGCTGGTTTGTATATAATACCATTAAACATCATCCAGACACTTCAGTTTCCAAAATAAATGGAAGAATTCAGAGAATTTAATTTTATTTGAAAACTGTACGGTTTCCTGGGCATATACTATATAGTGTAAATTATTTCCCCGAGGGAATATCCTCTACAATGTACTATTCCCGAAGCCGCAGGCTGAGGGAATAGTACATTGTAGAGGATATTCCCAAGGGGAAATCATTTACATTATTGCTCGAAATTAGGCAGTCACTATTTGTTTTATTATATACCCTATACTGACTCTTGTCCCGTTTCCTCTGCGAAGGCCAAAAAGGCTTAGAAAGCCCCCTCCCCGGGTCCATTGTTAGCATTATAAGCTGTGACGTCATCATATGCTCAACAGAAATGTTTGCCTCTGAGACTCTCACTTGACAAATTCAATCGCGTTTAACACGCGGAATAGATAATCATAACACTTGAAATTACACAGACGTATTGAGCTTAGGGAACTTTATACACGTTGCTTATATTGTATCGTTCACGCACGTCTGTCATGATGAACGGAGTTGATTTGTGTTTGTGCTCATCCTCCATTTTTCTGTTTTTCGTCTGCGCAGTGATGATGCGCAGACGTTTCCAAGGGTAATAGAAGTTGCAATCGTGACGTCAGCGGGCAATAGTTCACATGTATATTCCCGCTGACGTCACATTTGAGGGAATATAACTTTCCGAGGGAAATAGTAAATCTATTTCGGAACACGTGACTAGGTATTGACCAATCAGGATTAGTGTTACATATTGGCTATATAATAAAACTTTATATACTCCTCAAAAAAAGTTTAGAACCTCATAGGTTTACATGTTAA